GTATTGAATAGTTAACATCACTCTAGTCTTAATTTATTACAATTTAAATTTTTAATAAATTTGATTTATTACAATTCATTTTGTTAATATTGAGACCATAGTTTATTTTTAAAGTATATTTTAAAAATTAAATTATTTTTAAAAAATAAAATACTTTTAAAAAATAAATTGTAAAAAATATACTAAAACAATTAAAGTATATTTATAAAAAAATAAATTTAAATATAATAAAAAAATAATATTCATTAGCTGATCGATTTCAATTCGGTCGCTATTTTCTCATTAGCTAATCGATTTTAATTCGATCACTATTTCAATTTGTAATTCGTCGCTAAATCGAGTCGCTAAATGATTTTTTTATTTTAGTATGAAATAGCCACCGATTTATCGATCGAAATTTTGCGACGCAAAATATTGGTCGCTATTTCGGTCGCTAAATAAAAAAGTGAAAACCAAATCATATTTTGGTCGCTAAATCGGTCGCTAATTGCGACCGAATTAAAGTGGTCACTGAATCGAGTCGCTAATTGCGACCGAATTAAAGTGGTCGCTAAATCGGTCGCTAATTGTGACCGAAAAAATTTGGTCGCTAATTTCGGTGGCTAAATGTATTTTTTCTTGTAGTAAAAAAAGTATATATTTGATGAAAGATGAATTGATTACGAATAAACATATAAAAGAAAAAAAATCAAAAGAAAAACATAATGCATATATTTTTAAAGAAACTTGATATCAATAAAGATAATGAAGATGTAAATGAAGAACCATCTTTCCTATAGTAAATCAAAAATTCAATGTTACTACCATGAAATCCAAAAAAAAAAAAAAAAAAAAACAAAAGAAATGAAATTGATAAAAAAAATACACTTATTAGAAAAGTGCAATTTAACAAAAATATGATTTTATACAAGAAAGAGAATAATAAAAATTACAAATAAAAGAGAAGAAAAAAAATTAGAAAGAAGAATACCAAATTTAAATAAATATATATTAAGAAAAAAATACTTGAACATATATATATATATATATATATATATATATATATATATATATATATTAAATTAGACATTACGAGATTATATTATCTATAATAGTTTTATATATAAAAAATTATTCCTAAATATATGTATTTTAAAGAATTATTTTTAAAAATAAGTAAAAAATCTTATTTAATAAGTCTAGTTTGAAAAATTATTTTAGATAAAAAAAGAAAAAAATACTAATTATTTTAGTTGCGTAAAAAGTTGGATTATGACTTTAAAAATGTCATGATAATTAAATGATTAATGCAACACAAACACAAATGAAAATTCATATATTATTAATGAAAATAAAAAATATATTTTATCAGTTTTATTTCTTGATTTTTAAAAATTAAAAATTATTTTAATAAAATAGTTATCAAATAAGTTTTTTAATTTTAAAATTATTCTAAAACCTATTTTTTTAAAATAAAAGACAATCTTTTAATAATTTTATTTGCAAACATTATCATCCCATGACTTTCTAATTGCTCCAATAGATAAATCTTCGTGACTTTATATTTCTCATTTCCTTGCAATTACTTATTAAGATCTTGGATTTGATACAATATTCACATTCAATTGATAATCTTAATCATATAAAAGACAAAGAAATTGGGTTCATGAATCTATTAATGTTTCTACCATCAAGTCTTAGGTCAAAAGTCACCATATCTCTTAAATTATGATTATCACTTGATATTATTATTGAATAATAATATAGTGAGTGAAGTAAAACATATAAATATGATGATTAGTGTTAATTTCTAAATTAAAAATTTAATATAGTTTTCCCAAATTTGTATAATATTTCATACCTATTTAATTTGAATTATATTAAATTTGTGAACTAATTTTTATGAAAGATGTTTAGTATATGGTAATTATATAAATTAAATGATTAACTTATTCTTATCACGTATTGTTTCATTGCTATAATAATATTTTGATACGTGAATATATATATATATATATATATATATATATATATATATATATATATAATTAAGTTGTTTTATTCATGTAAGATGCAACTCAATTTATAAAAATTTAAAAGTGATGAAAGAATAAAATAAAAAATTACAATAAAGAGATTAAAGGATGTCATTTCAAATCATTTTTAAATCTTTTATATAATAAAAAAAATCTTATGATATTAAGTAATAAGTCTTGGCATTAAACTAAGATTATGATGTATTTTTAAGAAAAAAAAACAGAATCTCAATTAAATTGTTACAACTTAAAAAAGTGTCGATATTGAAAAGTATTTAGATTTTGGCGAGTTATATTCTTAGAAGAATTTCAATGTTATTTCTCTGATTATGATAAATTGCATGTAGCATTTTAGTAGGATATAAAAATACCTACTAATCAAATATTCATACTAAAATTTTGACATTTTTTTATCTTTTTGTTGGTTGTCAAATTCCCTTTTTCTTCTAATCACACAATCCTTTATCTCTTTATTGAAAAGTATAGATATTTATGTTCACTCATAATTTTCTTTGCCAACAATTTCATTCTTTGACTTTCTAATTCAACAAGTAGAAAAGTCTTCCTCTTTAATGTTATTCTTTATCTTTTGGAAAAAAAGTACATATTTATGTGCTACACTTAATATTTTTCTTTGCCAAGAATATCATCCCATGACTTGTTAATTGATCCAATAATAATAATAATGAAAAAAACTACAAACAAAACCAAGAACACGAAAAAATGTGAAAGTTATGGCGATAATATAAAAAATGACTCAGATTTTTTTAATAATTTTAAATATATAAATTTTCAGTTAATCCTTCAATATTATTAAATAAATAATTTTTTTTAATTTTTTTTTGCAACACTTTATATATTTTAATAAAATTATACTTTTCAAATAAAATATATTTTAATTAATAACAATATGTAGAAACTTATTTACAATAATAAAAAAGTGATTATAAAGAACTTTATTTAAATTTATTTAAATTTTATAAATAAATAGAAGCTTTTATTTATAAGTTAGAATCAATTAACAATTATAAAGTTAAAAAAAATATAATAATTTTACTTTTATTTATTTAAAATTTGTACTTTTTTTTTATTTCTCATTTCCTCTTACAATTTTAATATTTTTAGAAAATTTATAGAATGTCGTTTAAATATCTATGCTCATAAAATCTTTACATTTTTTTTTTGAATTCTTACTATATAAAGTTATTAAAGTTCACAACATAAAATCTTGATCATACAATTTATATATATATATATATATATATATATATATATATATATATATATTATGAAATATTATAACATTCTTAAATAGTTTTTAAAGTTATTTTAAAATCTCATTTCAATATATTATTTAAACAGTATAATGATATTAAAAAAAAAAAAGAAAAAACAGAAGACCATTATGAATATTGGAGAAAACTGAAGCAGCCAAATTTGACTGTGAAGGGTCACAGTGTATATCAGAATTAGCTCTGCATGCCTTACTTTTTGCAAGGAAAAAGCAGAAGAAAATGTCCCCACCATAACATTTTCTTACAGTAACCCCATGCTTGATGGTGCAAAAATGAAATAGAAAATATAATAAAAAATTAATATTTTAACTTTTTTTCATTACTATTAATTTTATATATATATATATATATATATATATATATATATATATATATATTTACAACCAAAAATTAACTAATTTAAAGAAATAATTATTTGACTAAGTTATATAACTTATTTTAGTTAAATTGTCAAAATCAAAATTATTCTTTAAATTAACTATCAATTTTTATTATAAATTAGACTTTAAAATAGTAATTATCAAGTAATTTTATCATTTTAAAGAACAACCATTTGATCTTAATAGTAATTTAATTATTCTACAATTATTAGAATTTTGATTCAAAACTAATAATAATTTGTATAAAAAAGAATTTTAGAGCTTTGGTTCTTTGAGTCTTTTCGAACTATTAGTTAAGTCTTTTTAAGTTTTTGAAAAGATTTTAGTGATTATGAACCAAGATTGCTTTTATATATTATTTCTCGCAATAATATTAAAAATGCATAATACCTTATCTACGACACAATAATCAAAATAAAGTAAATATAAAACTTAGACATTCTTTTGTGTTGATACAAAACTAGTTAAACTATATTTGCAAATAAAGTAAATATAAAATTATCATAGAACTGTGTTAAAAAATCACACCATAATTTTTTTTCATTCATAATTGATCTAAAGAAGCATCATAAAACTGTTTCCAAAAAAACACCGTAAGAAAACATCATAAACGTTATCATCTACTCTTTCCATGTGCTTTAATTAACAGTGACAGACAAACCAGAGAGTTCCTGTGACAGAGCATCCCATCAATGATGTCCTGTGACACAAGTAGACGACAGATAAATGTGGTCAACATGTGCAACCTCAACCTCGTTCTGATGTTGTTGGAAATGAACCTCAGTTCTTACTTGATTGATAAGTTAATTTTCTCATGCTATTGGGGCTGGTTTATATTTTTTTAATACCTTCTTCTTCTTCGTTAGTTTTTTTTTTTCTGTTTTCTCTTACTTTTTGTATAGTTGTTTCTTCCTTTCTACTTTATCTTCCCCTATTCTTTTATTTTTGAATTATTTCAGTAACAAAGGGACGAAATATGCAACTACCAATTCAGAAAACCAAAGTATGTAAAATTCTTCACCTTAAATCACATTACAAATTCAGAAAATTAGTCCCTAACAAAGGTAAAAGTATGCAACTACCAATGCAAATCCATATAAACATGTGCGCGATGTTAAAGATAAGCCAACTCAATCTGCAGGTGCATGCTACAATAGGAGCTTAAGGTCCAAATTATCATTCTAGATCATAAGCTACCATACATAGAATTATTGGGTGTCATTGCAAATCATTATTAAACAGAAAAAAAAAAAACCCAGAAAAGACAATAAAGAAAAGATCCTAGCAAGGCATTAAATAAACTAGTTTTCTCAAGCCAAATTTTTCCACTTGAATGCCACTTGAGAAAGAGTCTTTGTAGAAGACCCATCTGGTTTGAGAGCACTAGTTGCAGCTTCTTTTAAGTCCTTCATTCTTCTGCGCATTTCACCTCCTTCTTTCCCTTCCATCAAACGCTTTATGACCTCAACAGTTTCTACCCGATCCACCAACCCATTTTCATTGACTCTTGGCCTCACTCCAACTTTTAAACCCTCACTTAGCACAACAGCATTCATCATTTGCTCTGCAAACAGTGGCCATGTGATGAGAGGCACACCATTTAGCACACTCTCAAGGGTTGAGTTCCAGCCACAGTGAGTCAAGAACCCACCAACTGAACTGTGGCTAAGGATTTGAGTCTGGGGTGCCCATGAAGGAAGAACCATACCTTGCTCTTTGGTTCTCTCCAAAAACCCACTTGGCAAGAACTCTAAAGGGTCAACGTGATTTTGTTCACCAAGATAAGCAGAATTGGCCTCATCACTTGGTGCTCTCACAACCCACAAGAACTTGTGGTTACTCAATTCCAAACCATAAGCCAGTTCAATGATTTGCTCTTGTGAGAGTGTTCCACCACTACCAAAACAAACATACAAAACTGAGCCAACTTGCTGGTTGTCCAACCATGTTAGAGACTCCAACCCAATTGTACAAGCCGTCCCAGTTTGAACAATTGGTCCAACAGGATACACAGGAGGATACCCCGTACCCTCATCTTCCAATGCTCTTATAGGACCTATTTCCATTTCCAAAAAGCTATTAACTAAGACCCCATCAACACGAGGCATGCGTTTAACACGTTGGAGAAAGAATTCGTAACCGAGACTACTCCTATCTCGTGCTAGCGTACATAGATCCCGACCATGAAATGGAAGACAACCTGGTATTTGGATAGGATGTGTCAGATCTGGGTACTCACATGATGTTTCCTCATCCAACTTGGGCATGTAGAAGTACGTGGCGAGTGTGGTGACTGCGCAAGGGAAGTAAACATAGGATAACATGTTGAACTCTTGAGCAAAGTCTTGGGCTTCATAGGCAAAAGAATCAATCACCATGGCCACGAGGGGTATCTTTGAAGTGATGCATTTTAGAGTGTCATGAATAGATTGCATAGAGTGAGTCATTGCAAGATGAATTTGGATTGTTGGCCGAATCCCTTGTGGTAGGTCACTGAGGTTCACTGGTGGAAGCAAAATGGGGTTGATGTTTGGTGGAAGGGTTTCAAGGATGGCTTTTGAGGCACTTGGGAGTGACCCAAGTGAGGGAACGATGCAGGTGACATGAACATGTGGATGGAGCTCAACAAGTCGTTTGGAGAAATGAAGAATGGGAACTAAATGGGTGAAGCCTAAACCAGGAATAACTGCAATATGTGTTGCTTTCTCCATGGAAATCTTTGTTCTAGGTTGTGGCTTTCAAGGATTATGAAGAGTAAATACTTTGTTTCATCATCTTGTTGAAGAAGATCATAAATAGAATTCAACTACCAATATTGGTAGTTGCTTTTTGTATTTTTAAGTGATTTAGGTTTCAATTTTTAGTAATATTAATTTGAGTATGAAGTAAATGGTAGACATGTTTTGCTATTGCTTTAAATATCCCAATAACACAGCCATTTTAGGCAGATACATTTTTATTAATAAAATAAAAAAAAAAGATTTCACAACACAACCTCTTCAAACAAAAATATATCATTCAACAACTATTATAATAATAATAATAATAATAATAATAATAATAATAATAATAATAATAATAATAATAATAATAATAATAATAAAATCTTAGATTTATACGTTTAGATATATGTATGTTAGTTTAACACTATATGATTTCTTTTAATATTGCATGTTTTTGAATTATTCAATTCTTCTATAGTTGGATTTCAATTATTGGTTGAAGTAAAAATAACAAATAATTGATTATACATTTTAATAGTTGAATTTGATTTTAGAAGATAAAATTGACACTTACATCCATTCATGCTCTAAAATATGACACGACCTTACTACAACCGCATGTGATCATATCAAAGAAGGATACACTTGTCTCACACTACACATGCATTTGTCAAATTTTAACTTCAATGAATTTAATCTTTTTTCAATCATTTTTACTTTTATAAAAATAAAATTAAGTTCATATTCTTAATTCTTTTTTATCCCACAATTGTGGAGGGATTTCTATACAAGTTAACAAAAAGAATTTTTTCTGCATTTAACTTGTAATTAATACAAAAAAAGAAAATTCTTTACGTCTTTCTTGATTCATAATAACCATTGTAAAATGAGAAAATTTCTAAATTTGTTACATATTGTATAAAGTGTTATATATATAGAAGATGATTTTTTTTACACTTTTGTTTTATAAAACATCTCAATTATAAATTAAAAAAAAATTATATTAGTGTAAAAAAAAACTTTTTACAATGATTTGTTTACATTAATTAACAAAAAAATTATGTTTAATAATACACTGAAAGTATAATTTTTTTAACATATTCTACATCAATTACATAAGAATAAAATATATTTGTATTTTACATCAATTATAAAATTAGTATTTCAATATTTTAAGTCTTGTCTTTTATATTTCTTTCCCAGATAAAAAATTGAAATCTTGGTTCAAGAATTAAAGTTCAATTATATTTTATTTATAATTTATTTTTATAATTGTTAAATACATTAAAACAACTTTAAATTATAATTTTTAATTGTAAAATTATGTCATTTATTTATAGATATAAAAAATTGGAATTATAAATATAACAATAACCATATGATTAAAATAATGTAATATTTCTTTTTATCTGAAAATATTATTTTTTAAATACTTAAGAATTGATAAAAATAAAATTTGATTTGATTTGAATTTTATATTAAATTAAAATGAAATAAAACTAAATTGTATTTAATTGTTACGTTTAATTTATTATGGTCATTGTTGATTCATTTTCTTTTCTTTCATGTTCAAAACTTCATCTTCCTACAAAATTTCATTGATTCATTTCATTCATCTTCGTTCATGTTAATGTTAAGTTTTCTTTCGTCACCAAGCTTTAGCCACACTCTTTTTCGACGACTTTAAACATATGTATAATATTTTCTTACAAATGATTTGATATTGTTTTATATACATTGTTAAAAAATTTATTACACAAACATATAGAAAATGTGAAATATTTTTTTTAATTGTTCATGAGTAAGATTTTATAAATTTTAGCTTTGCTAAGTTTTCATTTATAAGACGGAATTAAAAAAAAATATTTTTTATGCACAAATTTTATTTACAACCAAAATAAAAATAGATGTATAAAATATTTTTTTTTAAAATAAAAATAAATATTTTATTAAAAATCTCACAAATCATTTAAAAATTAATCAGATTTATTTTTATAAATATATTTTTTTAATTTTAAATAATTTTATCTAATTTTAAATTACCCGTAATAAAATTCATTTTTATTTATATAGTAACTTCCATCTGAGATGATGTTATAATTATAATAGTTCATTGAACATGTTTTTGGAGATTAAAAAAAAAATGTAAATTACCCACTATAGGATTCAATCAGAGTATCAATTGCTCTGTTCATATTATAATCCAATCAAAATTCTAAATTATAATTGAATCAAGAAAATATAAAAAAACAAACATTATGAATGAAAATTTAGTTAGGGATAACAATTATTGACAAAATGTGGATGGAGCTTAAGTACTTTGGAAAATCTAGGCAGACAATGGAACCTATGTCTTAAAAATATATAATATTTTTTAATTAATCTTTAAATTTTAATAAATAAATAAATAATTCTTAAAAATAAATTTTATTATCTATTTTAAACAAATTCTTATATATCATCCTAAAATATAATTTAATATATATATATATATATATATATATATATATATATATATATGAATTATAAATTATATTTTATCATAATATAAAATAATTAATTTATATTTGGATAATAACATGTAGAAGTTACTTAGATAAAACAATAGTTTGAGTGGTTAAAATGACTTTCGAAGACATTATTTATTAATGATACTTAAATTCTGTTATGTTACCTTTTTATTTTTGGTTTTTCTCTCTCTTTTCTGTTTCTATTGTGTATATATAAACCTTTAATCTGAATAATAAAGTGAATCTTCTTTTCTGTTACATTATATTCTTAATATGGTATTAGAGCAATAAGCATCTCACGCTCCCATTGATAGAAGTTGGATTCGGTGATAGAAGTTGGATTTGGTGAGGAACACAGTAACAAGAAGTAGTACAGGATTTTCTCCAGGATGGATATAAAGATGATTAGAAGAATTGATAAGATGGTTTGGAGGGAAGTGAGAGAGTTTTGGCTTGAAAAAACCATGGTTGATCTATCAAAGATGAAGAAGCACACAACAAAGCACGAAGAGAGAGTGTACCTTCTGATACCATATTAAGAATATAATGTAACAAAAAAGAAGATTCACTTTATTATTCAGAATAAGGGTCTATATATATAGAGTGTATGGCAGAAACAGAAGAGAGAGAGAGAAAAACCAACAATAAAAAGGTAACATAATATAATTTAATAATGATAATAGAATTGTGGGGCCAGTGGGCCAGAGAATGATAGGAGAATCATTAATACCCCCTCTCAAGATGGAGCATGGATATTGAGCATACCCATTTTGAATAATTTTCTTGAAACACAGTAGAATATAATGACTTAGTAAGTATGTCAGCAATTTGGTGTTTAGAAGAAACATGAGATAAAACAATAAGTCCTTCAAGAACTTTGGCTCTTATAAAGTGACAATCAACTTCAATGTGTTTGCTTCTTTTGTGAAAGGATGAATTTTTGGCAAGTTGAATAGGAGAAAGATTATCACAAAAAACAGCAGAAGACTTTGGAATTTTAAGGCTAAATCATCATATATGTACTTTAACCATTGAACTTCACAAGCTACAGATGCTAAGGCTCGATATTTAGCCTCTGTAGAACGGTAATCTGCTTCTTTGACTTCCATGATATAAGACAATTGCCATAGAAAACACAAAACCCTGTCATGGATTTTCTGGTGATGTTACAAGCAGCCCAATCAAAATCAGAAAAAGCTAGGAGTCTACGAGGATTAAGAATAGGATAGAAGAGTCCCTATCCAGATGCACAAATTTGAATAGATGTCAAATTAAAAATTTATTTGTGAGTCAATAATTTGTTTGAACCTAGATAAAGTAGAAGTGATAATATAATCAGGAAAAGAGAAAGAGATAAGGGAAAGAGAAGAGCACACAATGATTTATACTGGTTTGGGTATAGCCAACCCTACATCTAGTTCCCAGTCAACTCTTAACACAAGAGTGACTCCCAATTCACTATCTTTCAAATTCAGTTTACAAATTACAATAAACTCAGCAGAAGAACCAGTAAAAAGTAAATTAATTAAAAAGATAATCACCTCCTTAGAAATCCACTAAGGATGAACACCTCCCTAAAATCCCACTAGGGATGAACACCTCCTCTGAACAAATCAAAGGATGAAAAACACTTCCTTAGAATCCCACTAAGGATGAACACCTCCCTAGAATCACACTAAGGATGAACACCTCCCTGAACAAATTAAAGGGATGAAAACACCTCCTAAACCCACAAAGGATGAAGAAATAAGATAAGAACAGTCACACCTGGGTAATGGAGATAATAAATTGTAGAAGCTTGTAGAATGCCAATCTCCAAGAACAAGTGTGATTAACAATGAAAGCACAGAAGGCAGTAGAGAAGAGGGTTTTCTCAGAAGGTGTAAAATATCTCTGTTGTCTTGCTCAAAATTCTTTTCTCAAAACTAATTGAATGTAAATTGTATTTTCGAATTCTGTAGTTATATGTTTTTTATTTTTCATCAAAACTTAATTAAATAGAAAAATAGCATCAGAAAATGGTCGTTGGACATTAATATTTTCGTGAATAAAAATAAGGATATATTTAAAAACATTTATTCTTCAAAACAAATATATTTTTCAAATTTGAATTGCCATAATTGATTATGTCACCAATATAATCAATTATGACAAAGAAAATCATTTTTCCATTTCTGATGCATCATAATTGATTATGACAGTGAAAAATATCATGTTATGAATTTTATCACACTTGTGCTTTGGAGGCTTATGCATAATATTACTTCATCAACTTGTACCTCCATATCCAGTATTCTAAGACTCTATCTAGTCTTCAAGAATCATCTTGGGCTTGCTTGAATCATCATCTTTATCAAAAACATATCTTGGGCATGTAGGGAAATGTTTCACATTGTCACCAACGTCTTAAATCCAACTTGTCCTTAATTCATCTTGAATGGTGTTGACTTGAATGTAGTTGACTTGAATCATCATCAA